ACACAAGAACACACACACACACACACACACGCGCACAAACACCCACCCACCCCCCCCCGAGTCTGCCAATGTAGTCCAGGCTGGCCTTGTCTATGGCCAGGTTGTTCTCAAACTCATGACTCTTCTGCCTCAATATTACAGATACTAGATTTACAGGCATACACCACTATGCCAAGCTACTTAATAGTTTTTCCCTTTCCAAGTAGTAGTCTTTATTTAAGAGCTCACCAGATATTGTGGCCTACAAGTAACATGACTAAGAAACTGCCCAAGTAAGTTATCTGTCACAATTCTGTCCTGTCCTTTAGGTCAGAGGGAAAGCAGAGCCACACCAGAGAATCTTCCTGGTTTCCAACTTCCGGTCCTACAGGTGATGTCTGGCTAGTCAAACTCATATGTGTGTAGAACTCTTAGGCCTTCACACTTAAGGCTGAGGTTCAGGGTGGTAGAAGGTAACCAATGGTGAGTGAGTGAGACAGGTATGATTGTGATAATGGGTGTTTTCAGGATGGCCTCAGTTTCCATGATTCTACCTTACGGACAGATTTTTACAAACCAGTTTGCTGGTTTGGCGTTTTCTAAAATTAAGACACATGACAGTAACTAATCTTAGCCAAAAGCATACTAACATTTCCAGTAGTTCCAAACAAAGTTTTTGTTTTGTCTTTGGTACTGGGTACCTTGTGTGTTGTAGGAAAGTACTTTCCCAGTCATCTGTATCCCCAGACCGTTTTCATTTTAAGTCAGATCGTAGTGAGTTACCCAGACTAGCTGTGATTAGTTTCCCAAACAGTTGTGATTACAAACCTGACCCATTAGCCCTGGCAATGAAAATTCCTTTTCAATGGAATGTATCTTTTGGGTGAACAAGGAAGAGTGTTTATTTCTCAAGGTGAATTTATGGAACTAATCCTAATCAGACAACAAAAGAAAAAGGGTGTGGTGGAAATTTGTAAGAAGTTCCAATAAGTGAAAAATTCAGTCTTGCCTTTTAATTCCACTTTTGTGTCTTGGGTTTTAAGATTTTTTTTGAAGCTATTTTCTCTGAAAGTTTCTCATGAACCAAGGAATAATCCATTCCTGCATAGTAAGATTGGGATATATTTATTTCCATAATCCAGGATGCCCTTTTTAAATTTTTTTAAGATTTATTTATGTATAGGAGTACTCTGTCTGCATGTATGCCTTTATGACAGAAGAGATTTCACTAGAGATGGTTATGAGCTACCATGTGGTTGCTGGGAACTAAACTCAGGACTTTTGGAAGAGCAACCAGTGCTCTTAATCACTGAGCCATCATTCAGCCCCCCCCCCAGATGTCCTTTATTTTATCAGTAAGAAATCAAAATTTAAGTAGGGCCTAGTGACAATAGCCTGTAATTCAGCTACTCAGAGACTGGGGCAGGAGGATCACAAGTTCAAAACAGCCTGTGCTATAGTATGAGTTTCAAGCCTTAGTAAAACCCTGTCTGAAAAGTAAAAATTATCCAGATACTTACATCCTAGAATTTCAGGTGAAATAGGAGAATCACAAGTTTGAGGCCATCTTGAGTTACACAGTAAGTTCCAGGCCAGGTTGGCTAGAGACCTTGTCTTAGATAAAAGAATAGACAAACTAGGGATATAGGCCAATGGTAAGTGTGTTTGCCTGGCATATACAAGGCCTTAGGTGATATCCAAAAACAAGAGAATAAAAAGAAATTTCTTTGCATGTAATTGTTTTTTAAGTTTACAAAAAAAGGGGGGGTGTCTAGGGATGTAGCTCAGTTGGTAGAGTACATGCCCAGCATACACAAAGCGCTGGGTCCAGTCCCCTGTACTTCATGAAACTAGGTACATGCACTCAGGAGATGGACAAGAAATTCAAAGGCATCCTTGCCCACATAACAAACTCAAGGCTCATGTTTCAATGGAGAGAAGAGGGGACAGGAAGAGAGTTTTTGTTGTTGCTGCTGTTGCTTCTCTTTTCTTTTCTTTTCTTTTTTTAGACATTAGAAGCCTAACATTGGCAGCATTTGGGAGATAGAAGTAGGAAGATTAGGAGCTCAAGGCCAGACCGAGATACCTGAAACTGTCTCAAAACAACAAGAAACAATAAACAAAAAGCCTGGGGTTTAACCTGTAAGAAGAAACACTGAAGAAACAGCATCCCTCTCATAGAACCTTACAAATAGAGATTAACCTATAAGGAAATACAAGAGACCTATAAATATTTGGCCCCAAGTTGAATCTTGTTAGAAACACATAATTGGATGTAATGGTGCACACCTGTCATCCCAGCACTTGAGAGGTCAAGGCAGGAGGATCAGGAGTTCAAGATCATCCTAGGCTACATAACAAGTTTGGAGGCTAGTCTGAGCTATATGAAACCCCATCTCAAAAACAAAAACAAAAAACCTGCCTCTGTAAGATACTTGAGGAATTGTATTCTGTTGGGCACTATTAAAGTTGTGTTTGTTTGTTTGTTTGTTTTTTCTGGAACTGGGTCTCATTTATAGCCCTGGCTGGTCTGGAACTCACTATGTAGATCAGGCTGGCCTCAAACTCAAAGAGCTCTGCCGGCTTCTGCTTCCTGAGTGCTGAAATTAAAGGTATGGAACACTATGCCCCACACTATTAAAGAACTTTAAATACCAAGGAGTATTTTAGGTCTGATGACTCGTATTTACATACACATACAATATGTACACGTATATATGTAAATACAAAAATTTATGAATAGCAAGTGTGGTGCTCTGAAAGGAAATGACCCCCAAAATGAGTGGCACTATTAGGAGGTGTGGCCTTGTTGAAAGTATGTCATTGTGTTGGCGGGCTTTGAGGTCTCTTTTGCTCAAGCTTCCTTCAATGTGACAATTGACTTCCTTTTCCATGTAAGCCAAAATGTAGCCAGCACACCATCTGCATGCATGCTACCATGCTCCCTGCCATGGTGATAATGGACTGAACCTCTGAAACTGCAAGCCAGCCACTCCAATTAAATGTTTCCCTTATAAGAGTTGCAGTGGTTATGGTATCTCGTCACAGCAGTAGGAACCCTAACTAAGACAGGATGTTAAATGGTATCTAGATTTTGCTTTAGTATAATTTAGTAGAAAGAGGCAGTAGAATATATGAGTAAAATATTGGCCAGGAGTTGTTTTTTTTGTTTGTTTGTTTTGTTTTTTATGTTGGATGATGGGTTTATTATTCTAGTCTGTCCTTTAAAACAAAACCTATTAGGACTAGAGAGATGACTCAGCACTTAAAAGTACTGGCTGCTCTTTCAGAGGACCTGGGTTGGACTCCCAGCATCCAGTGTAGATTACACATGGTGGACCACAACCCTCTAACTCCAGTCTCAGGGGATCTCTGATGCCCTCTTCTGTGTGCAGGGGTGCACACACATACATGCAGTAAAACACCCATAAATATAAAATTTAAAAAATAAAACATGAAGAAGTTAAAAATAATTACTGAAAAAGTACCATATCCCCAGAGTTGTAAGATCTCTGCCTCCCTGGTAATATCATAGTCAAATGTTCCTATCTTCCCAAAGTGTCTCATATATTTGACATTATAATCACAAAGCACTGAAATATTCTACATTTTTTTTTTCGAGACAGGGTTTCTCTGTGTAGCTTTGGAGCCTATCTTGGCACTCGCTCTGGAGACCAGGGTGGTCTCCAACTCACAGAGATCCGCCTACCTCGTTCCGAGTGCTGGGATTAAAGGCGTGCACCACCAAAGCCTGGCCTCTAGTTTCTTAAGTATGACAAAGCCCTCATCACACCGGATGCATCAGATCTTAGTTTGGGCTGGACATATTGGCATACACCTTAAATATCTGCACTTGGAAAACCAGCAGGCAGATCTCTGTGAGTTTAAGGTCAGCCTGGTCTACATAGACAAGCTCTGGCAAACAGGGATAGTGAGACCTTGTCTCAAAAAACAAAATTTTGGAAGCTAGTCATCATACAGTGAGACACCATGGAGAAGCAATGGCAGCTGGTCTTGTTCCATTAAACTTTGATGGTTGGAAACACTCCTAGTTGTCTGTTTTGTTGTAACATGCAAATATGTTCTCTACTGCAGACATTCTACCAACAGAAGCAGACGGGATTAGCCAGGAGAGAAGGATGGAGCATTTCCAGATAGACATCTCTTTCAGGTTTGATCTATGCATAATGCTCAAGGATAGACTTCAGAGTCTAGTATACCTACCAGGAGATATAGGTTTGGAACATGTATACCGGCTGTTTCTTGGTTTCATTCTGCAGCTTGTTCTCTTATACTTTATATTTTCCTCTCCACAACACTTAAATTTTTTTTACAGTGTGTGTGTGTGTGTGTGTTTGTGTGTGTGTACCACTTGCATATGCCTGTGGAGGCCAAGAGGGTGTGTGATCCTCTAGAGCCAGAGTTACAGGCAGTTTGTGAGCTGACTGACGTGGGTGCTGGGAAACCCAGCTTGGACCTTCTTGACAAGCACAAAGCCTGCTTAACTGCTGAGCCATCTCTCCAGGCCCTTAAATTTTTTATTAATTTAATAATAAATTTTATTATTTACTTAAATATTTATTTAAATAATTTTTATGTAGGTATGGGCTGGGAGTTAGAGGACAACTTGTGGGAGTCATTTCTTTCCACCAGGTCTGTCCTGGGGATACAACTCAGGTCACTAGGCTTGGCGGCCATCTAAGTCATCTCACTGGCTCAATCTTTTATCAAAGCACAAGAAAGCTTTTATGTCTTACACTAGGCTTCAGAAAGATAATTATCTCTGCCCCATATGTACCGCCTTTCATTTCCCAGTTTGAAACTAAAGTTGCAGAAATCCTTGGCCTCATGCTTTGGGGTATAGAGACTGGATAATATACTTATCCTGGTTCATTTCTGAATTTCACTTTTTAGCATTAGACTTTGTGTTCCTGTTACCAGTTTTAATAAGCAAAACAACCATTCCTCTAATTTATTATACTTCTTTTACCCATTGTTCGTTCTACATCCAGTTATGAAATGCTTTGTTTTTCCTTTGTCAGAACAATTGGTAGAATAGATTTCCAGCTTACTAAAGTATGTAGATTAATAAAGAGGAAAAAATCATAAAAGAAGATACTCTTTTATGGCTACTGCAACTCTTGCAGGTTCTAGAAAGATGGGATGAGCAAGTGGAGTTACAGCCTGCCGTCACTACTGAAGCATGAATAAATCTTGTCATCTGACTGCTGGGAACTATGTATGTGCCAACAGATGCTGACTTACTGTCCTCTGGTTTTCTATTTTTATTTAATATATCAAAATATATCCTGAATCTTTAAATAATAAAAGTAGACTAAATCAGAAATAATCTTAAAGTGTGCTGAAGCTTGAAATTAGGGTGTCATATATGCTAGGCAAGAGGTCTATTGCTGAGTTACATACCCAGCCCTTAAATTAGATTGTTAATGGACTTGACTACATCAAACCCCTAGACTCAGGCTTGGTATAGATATAGCCCATTGGCAGAGCTCTTGGAAGGTGGAAGCAGGAGGAGCAGAAGTTCAACTACAGCCATAACTCAAGGCAAGCCTATCAAAAAAAAAAAAAAAAAAAAAAAAAAAAAAAAACACGGACTGGCACAGGCCTTTAATCCCAGCACTCAGAAGGCAGAGGCCGGCAAATCTATGTGAGTTTGAAGCCAGCATGGTCTACAGAGTGAGTTTCAGGACAGCCAAAGATACACAGAGAAACCCTGTCTTGAAAAATCACACATACACATACACACATACACACACACACACACACACACACACACACACACACACACACACACACACACACACACACACAGAGAGAGAGAGAGAGAGAGAGATTATATAAGATTTTAAACCATAGGAGAGGCAAAGTGGAGAAAATAAACAATTTTATTTTTGGCCTTTTTTATTATTTTAGCAATTTAGTGCTTGCACTCTATTTTCAGGCGACTAACCCACTGTTACCAGTGATCCCCAATGTTGACATTTATTCTAGAACATCATTGAGTTAGAAGACCATGGTCCTTCTGTCACCAAGACAGATCCTATAAAGAGGGAAACATTTCTTGTTAGATACAAACTGAACCAGTAGCAAAAAAGGAAAAAAAATAAAAAAAAAAATAAAAAAAACCAACAATATCAGTCTGGACAGAAAGTGGTGTCAGGTTGTAAATCCAAACCTGTAACATCCCCACTATCCTTCTCTGTTACACTGTGCCATTATGTTTCAAGACAGACTCTTATGTAGTCAAGGCTGGCCTTGAACTCCTTGATCTTCCTGTCTCCACCTGCTAAGTGTTGTAATCACAGGCACCATGCCTAGCTCATCATACTTTAAAGGGCAAATCCCCTAATCCCCACATTCAATAAATATACAGACTAACATTCACAATCTGATTCTTAAAATTTTTCACAGACTCTGTGTAAAGATTTACCCTGAGACAATAGTGAGCAAAGAGGAGATTTCTTAGAAATAAAATGGTAGAAGGCAGATTGGTCCCAGTATTAGAAGCAAGAGGTATCTACTTCTGCATGAATCAAGTGGCAAAACGAGTAAAAACATCAAACTGGTATGACAAATATCTATGACAAAACCGGGACACTGCAGATCCTAGCTGCAATATGCATGCGCATGTGCTCAGAAAGTCAGGAATGGGCACAAAGCAGCCTTGTATTCTCTGACAGACGGCAGGATTTGGATCACAATACTTCTCTCCATCCCAGGTCTCATGTAGATGGGGGGCTGAGACAAGGCTTAAGCGTACTAAAGGAAAAGAGTAAGAGGAAAGCAAGAGCCCTGTCTAGCAATTGTTTGCCCAGATCCCTGGCCCTCTCCACAGTGAGTCTGGAGAATTTGGTTTATGTTGATCTAATACCTTAGTGTGGTTACCTCCCCAGTCTACTGTTAAATTACTTATCCTGCCTTGTCCACTCTGAAAAACACAAAGCTTTTTAGTTCTTTGTGACAGTGTGTTTCAAAAAGGTTTAAACGGTCAATAGGGTGGTTCATCTTTCGGTAATAGACCCTTTTCTTCCTCAACCCCCCAGTCCTGTATGGCATCATCATCATCATCGTCATCTTCCTCCTCCTCCTCTTCCTCACCATCTTCTGGCAGTTCTTCATCTTCCTCCTCCTCTTCATCTAGGCAAACTACCACCTCCGCTGGCTCAGACAATCGAGAGTCAAACCAATCCAGCACTTGCTGAGTGCTAAGTCTTGATGCCTGACTCAGTTTAAGAATATCAGCTTCCTGCAGCTGCTGGTGGGTTGCCCAGTACCTCTCTAAAGGTTTTATGTCTGGTGGGAGCGGTAGGGCTGGCAGAGGTGGTGTTAAAGGTTGTATGTCTGGTAGGGGTGGTGGGGCTGGCAGAGGCGGTGTCTTGACCCATTCTTTCAAGGAATGAGTTGATGGTGTGGGAATGGCTGGATCTTGAAAAGTAGGGGCACCAAGTACTGCATTGTCCCGAAACCATTTCAGTTGTCCATGCTTCAAGGCATATCGGGTGTCACCAAACCATTGAATGATCTCAGGGCGAGGTAAACCAGTTATCTGTTCTAATTTATGGTAATCTTCTCGTCGTGCCCATTGGCACTGTAGAAAAAAGGATTTGAGGATGGCCAGCTGTTCTTTGGTTTTACGCTTAGTCTTTCGCTGGTGTTGCATATCTGGTGAAAGGTATTCTGTGGGGCCAACCCGATTTGCTACTGAGTTATTCCGTAGCCTTTGGGGCCAGGGTGGTTCCACTTGTGGAGACAGTGCCTGCTCACTAGGCGAGAACGACTGTGGAATATAGCCCAAAGGCTGGAGGGGTTTAGGGGTGGCAGTAGTTCCATTAGCCAATACCTGGAAAGGAGGAGATGGAGGTGTCCCACTAGGTGCTGATTCCTCCTTACAACTACTGACAAGTAATGAGATCAGTGGGGGCTTATCCTCAGCATGTGGCTGATGAACAGCTGTGGAGTGATTCCAGGAAGCAGTCCCTACACCACATGACTGGTCAGAACCCCTTTCCTGCTCCTTAGAGAGTCCACTGATCTGAAGATCCTGACAAAAACCTGATTGGTGGGGTAACGCTCTGCTGCCTGTCATCAGAGGTTCCTTCACTTTCTGGTGACTCTGTGGCAGCTGTGGTACCTGAGAGGGTTCCTCAGGCTCAACCTTCAATCCTTTCATCTGGGTGGGCTCACCAAGAGCCAGAGGACACAGTCCAAGAGCAACCTGCTCTGGAGAGGGCACTGGAGGCATCTCCGGTGGGGGCCACACTGCGTGATTTGTGAAAGAGAGGAGAGACTTGAAATGGAGCTGATCTCGGTGGTACACCACTCGGGCTCGAGTCTCTTCTATCTCTTCAGATGACCAGCTAATGCCACAGCGGAGCCGTTGGGCCATGAACCAGGTCTTTACCTTCTCCATCTGCAGCCCATATCTCAGGCAGAGGAGAGCAATATCTGCCAGGCTTGGATAGGGGAAGTAGCTGAAGGTTTGTAGCAGGTGTTCATTTCCATCCAGCTCACTGGTTTGCGCTGCTTGAGTCCACACAAGCTGTAGCTCCTCAGAGATTGGAGGGAGGCAGATGAGCCCTGCTGCCGAGCTGTTAAGACTGCTGGCATCTTTATTAGGAGGCATGGTGTGCTCTGACTTATGCCCTTCAGAGATAGCTGTAAGAAGAAAAACAGCTCCATCAACAAGGCGCTTTTGGCTCATCTTTTAATTTTTACCAAATTGCTAAACACCAAACAGTTTTTATTTGAATCATGTTGTATTGCTCCTAAAATGCTTCAATCATTTCTCAGTTTTCATAATCTTGTCATCAGAACCTGCCACAATTCCTGGTTCTTTGTATGAAACACAAAATTCATAGAAGTTAGGATAAAAATGACCCCAAGTCAGAGGATAAAATTCTGTCTATAGAGGCCAAGGAAAAACATTATCCTCCCAAAGTCTTTACCTTTCCAATTTCAGTTTGATTCTGAAACCTATCACTCTCTTGAAGTTCATGGAATAGTACTCACTGACTGAATACTAAACCACAAAAAAAACAGACCTCATGCAGTAATCTCAGAATGATTACTCTTTATTTCTAACAATCGTGGATTGCTCCTAGAATTTGGAGACAGGAAAACAAGCTGTCAAGTCGGCATGGGAGTGTATACCTACAGCCCGGCACTTGGAGATTACTCAGGCATGGGAATACATACTTACAACCCAGCACCTGAAGATTTGTCAGTAGGACTAGGAGTCTCAGAATTTACAAACAAGCCTGGTGGTGGCACATGCCTTTAATCCCAGCACTGTGGGGAGGCGGGGAGGCACAGGCAGGTGGATCTCTATGAGTTGGAGCCCAGCCTGGTCTACAGATCGAGTTCCACGACAGGCTCCAAAGCTACACAGAGAACCCTGTCTGGAAAAAAAAAAAATTACAAACAAAAAGCCAACAAGGAAACAGGGTGGGGATATTTTACTCCACCCCTTGCCTCCTTTCTTGGTGATGGAATTGTGTTCTGGGAACAGGAAGCTGTATTCGTAGTACCGTAAAGCCCTAAACTCTAGATATGTTTTTCCCTACTGGAGTAGGAAGGCTTTGAGAACAGGATCTTGGAATAAAAAGGTTACTTGCCCTGGGTTGGGTTTTGTGGACAGCGAAGTTTCCTCCCTTGTGTCAACAAAGGTTAGCCCTTCTCCAAGTCTCCTCTTACAGCTCAGCCTCTCTAAGGAGCCCAGAGATGAACCCCTCCCGCCATTAACAGCCCACTCCACAATGAGAAAAGGGCTCTTCTCATCTCTTCAGTCCAGCTTGCTTCTCAAAACCAGGTGGGCAGGTTCACTAAACCCTAATGCTAACTCCTGCAAGCTCCTCAGCAGTAGCACTGCTTCCAGGGTTAAAGGCAAGGGGACCTATTCATTCCTCAATGCCTGTCAAGCTAGTTCCCAGAATATTCTGTAAACATTTTCATCAGCTCCCTCCTTAGGCACTAGAGATACTTCAACACATCATGCTTTATTCCTGGAGGAATCCCATTGGTGTCTGTATTACATCTGGTCTTTTTGGGATAGGATAAGATTCCCATGTGATACTACTGGTAACAAATTTCAAATCCACAAAGGGCAGTGTATCAGCGGTTCTTGTCTTCACTTCTTTGGAGACCTCCAGGCTAGGCATGTGCTGTAACACCACGAGGTCAAGCCCTGGGGGCTTTATTTAAATAATCTCTTAAAAATTTAATTAGATTTTATTTTATGAATGTTTTATCTGCATATATGTATGTATGCAACACATGTGTTTGGTGCCCTCAGAAGTCAAAAGAAGGTATCAATTCCCCTGGACCTGGAGTTACAGTTGGTTGTGAGCTGCTACCATGTGGGTACTGGGAATGGAACTCCGGTCCTCTGAAAGAACAACAAGTGCTCTTAATTGCTGAGCCAGTCCCCAAACCCCCATCCCAGAGGCTTTATGATTACAAAACTTCACAATCACCTGAGTGTTTGTTTGCTATAGCTTTTAACAGTTAAATCTAATCGACCAGATTCCATGCAGATCCTAAAGCAATATACTGGAAGGGTCCTTTACAGGACAGGTCTATGTAGAAGCCGCTAATGAATTCTTAGCTCCTGCTTCTTAGCAGCTAGCTCTGAGACATTGGGTAAGTCACTGAAACCCTAATGACCTTCCATTTTCCTCCTATGTAAAGAATGCTGCAAGTCTAAAAAAGTTACATATTGTCAGCAAGCACCTATTGCATGTCATGCAGTATACAGTCAGAAAACAGATTTTAGAGATGGGAGGTTTGGGTTTGGCAGAGTAGAGATTTACTGAAGCTTCCCTGTTTCCTTAGCCAACATGTTTCACCCAAAGCTTAGTTTATCAGAAAAAAAGAGGTACCTACCCACGAAGTCTATACTGTGGCAGAAGCCTGGGTCTTCTGGTAGGCAAGCAGTTTACCACCAAGCTATACAGCTCCAGCCTTCATGACTTTAGATTCTATATTTTGGGGTTTGCATACAATTTCAGAATGGATTTTGCTGCTTTGAAAAAAAAATTAGGGCTAGAGAGACGACCTTAATAGCACCTGGCTGCTCTTCCAGATGACCCAGGTTCAATTCCAGCAGCCACATCACCATGTGTAACTCCTGTCCCAGAGAATACGATGCCCTCTTCTGGCCTCTGTGGGCACTGCATGCATGTGGTGCACAGACAGCACCCATCCATGTAAAACAGAAAGGTAAAACATAGGGCTATAGATAAGTCTTATAGGGATAAAAGCACTTTCAGCAGAGCCTACCACCTCAGCTTGATTCCTAGGACACAAGGTGGAAAGAAAACCAACTCCCACAAGATGTAGCCAAGAAATAGTCTAGTCAGTGTGGAGGAGAGCTGACAGAAAAGACTATATGAGTTATGTACAGTTACATGTCTCAAGCAGTATCTTATTCATGAGGTCTGCTATCCTTCACAGCACAAACTGGATTCTTGCAGTACAATGCATGCTAATACAGCTTTTTTTTTTCTTCTTCGAGACAGGGTTTCTCTGTGTAGCTTTGGAGCCTATCCTGGCACTCGCTCTGGAGACCAGGCTGGCCTCGAACTCAGAGATCCACCTGCCTCTGCCTCCTGAGTGCTGGGATTAAAGGCGTGTGCCACCAACGCCCAGCGCTAATACTGCATCTTAATGTATAGTCTATATCTGGTTTTCATAGTACACAAAAGTTGTAGCAGAATTTCTGAAATAGAATGTTGGCTTTTAATATTACTTAGTTTTGACAGGGTTTCTCTGTGTAGCTGTCTGTTCTAGTACTACTTCTGTAGTTGACCAAGCTGGCCTCTGCCTCCTTGAGTGCTAGGATTAAAGGCTTGTATCATTATGACCAACTAGAATGTTTTAAATCAAGATATAGCTACAGAGCTGGTAATCCTCTGGAAGAGTCTGTTTTTTAATTAGGGGCATACTGCAACCAGGATGGCTCATAAGAATGGCAAGTAGGGGGCAGGCATGGTGGTGCATACCTTCAATACCAATACTCCCAAGGCAGAGGCAGGGCAGGTGGATCTCTGAGTTTGAGGCCAACCTGCTCTACAAAGCGAGTTCCAGGACAAGCAGGGCTATGTAGAAAGACCATGTTTCAAAAACAACAACAACAAAAAGACAAGTAGTATAGACTCTACAACTACATTGTTAGTATTGTCCTCCACTTTGGACTGGGTAGAGAAAGAGAATCAAAACTGGAGGAGGGTTTCTATCTGGGACAGAGATGGTGGTGTATCTATTATGAGTTAAGCACACCTGCACCCTTATTATAGATGCCTGATACAGTATTCTGCTTAGTCATTAATGTAAAAAATATACTCAACACTCTTCCCCCCTTTGACTTCTAATATGCCCAGCCAGATGGAAAGGACGGGCAGACTGACTAAACTTGCAGTTTAGGTATCCATTCACTCACTGGTGGGGAAAAATAAGACTTTGGAATGTTCTAGTTGAGCACATGCTTGTACTAAAATGGAAGATAAAGTAGAAAACTAGATGTGATCCTGCTCAATTCCCTAAGTCTTTGTTCACATAAGGTCTGAACTACTGCCTAAAGTGTGTCTGGGTAATACAAGGTTAAGTACTGCCTGAGGTGTGTCTGAGTAATACAGGAAGGGTTAAGTACTGCCTAAAGTGTGTCTGAGTGATACAGGGTTAAGTACTGCCTAAGATGTGTCTGAGTGATACAGGGTTAAGTACTGCCTAAGGTGTGTCTGAGTGATGGGGGGGGGGGTGTTAAGTACTGCCTAAGGTGTGTCTGGGTAATACAGGGTTAAGGGCCTTAAGGACTTTTGTGACATTTAATTTATGTGCTTCTGAACTTTTTAGATTATGAACTTCTCTGGGAATCAGATAAAAATTACAGACCCCTAGGCTGGAGATAAAGCTCAGCACAGTTTAGTTCCTAGCACCCATATTTACAAAACTCATAACCACCTGTAACTCCAGTTTCAGGGGATCCAAGGCCCTCTAAGCTTTCATGGGCTCCTGAACATACATGGTGCACACAAATTCAAACAGGCAGGCACGTGCGCACACACAAATGAATATTTTTGTTAAAAGTGGCAAACAGAAAATTATGACTTAAAAAAATAGAACATGAGCCGGTCAGTGGTGGCGAACACCTTTAAATCCCAGCACTTGGGAGGCAGAGGCAGGCAGATCTCTGAGTTCAAGGTCAGCCTGGTCTACACAGCAAGTTCCAGGACAACCTCAAAAAAAAAAAAAAAAAAAAAAAAATTCACACTTGCACTGGGGTCACTGCCAAGAAGCCAGCTTCAGAATCTCTGCTTTAGAAGTCTTCCTAATTTACTGGAGGCAGTGTAGTATCTTACTTAGAGTTGAACAATCTGCTTAGTATAAACAAATGGAAGAACAGGAGTCAAGAATTAAGACTGTCAGCTGGGCGTCTAGAAGGGAGGTGTCTGTGGCACCAGTTGGGGTGGGAAAGGTGCTGAATGGTTCAGAAGCCTGGTTTAAGTGATCCAAAAGATTACATGGTTAATACTCACAGTGTGCTGGATACTCAAGTTTAGCTATTCTCTAGTGCAACGGTACTGGTTTTATTCACTTGTCTGTGTGCCTGCAATAGTGTGCTTCTACAACTGTTTATGCCCTAGGTTGCTGCCCATTTC